CGACTCGCTTCTTCCTCGTTCCTCCACACTCTCTCGTCGTCGTTGGCCCGTTGCTTTTCCACTCGCCCGCTCCACCATGCTCTCCATCGCCATGGCCGCGCGCCCCGTCGCGGTGAGCCGCTCGCGCCGCCCCCGTCTGCCAACCCAGGCAGCGGCTGCTGCTGCTGATTCGGATCCCTCTTCGTCCCTTGGTACGCGCGCGTCTGTCGCGACTCGCGCTCGCCCGCCCGCCCGCCCCGCAGTTTAACTGATTCCGCCTGTCCCTGATTTCTCATGTCTCTGTTTTCCCATGTAGCGGTAGTGGTTCGTGGACTCAACAAACCGGAGGCAGCGGCGAGGAGCTCGTGCTCGCGCCCCATGGTTCTGGCTTCCGTGGCGGGTAGCTCCGAGCTTCTTCCATGTTCCTGAAATGTTTGCTTGCGCGTGCGGTCTGTTCGACGAAATGACTGTGAGCTGTGACTGACATGAGTGTGCTGTCTGGTGTATTGCAGTGGGAAGTCTGGTTGCCGCTGGCGCTGCAAATGCCGCCGAGCTATGGGATCCCTTGGCCTTGGTGAGGAAAATATCATGTGCTTTCCTCACACACACAAAAAAGAGCATGTGCTTAAGTGCTTTCAAAATTAGTTCCCTTTTCACTTTTCAGCGTGCCTTTGCTTTCAAAAAAGAACATGTGCTTAAGTGCTTTCAAAAACATCTTAGACTATCACTACAATTGTTAATTGATTTCTCGTTAATTCCTGCAAACGGCCTGTTTCTCATCAGCACGGATCGTCAGGACTCGTCTTGGCTGACCTTGGCATTGGAGATTGGTTTGGGGGTTTGCTGTTTTCAGCTGGGCAGCAGGCTAACGAGGCTGTCCAAGATCAGTTGTCTGCTCTTAGTTTCTCTAGGTCTGTTTTGTTTTTGTCTTCTTGTACACAGTTCTATCACGAAGGGCGGGCCTGGTGCAAGCGGTAGAGTCTTACCGCCTGTGACCGGAAGGTCCCGGGTTCGAGTCGTGGTCTCCTCGCATTGCACAGGCGAGGGTAAGGCTTGCCACTTACACCCTTCTCCAGACCCTGCACAGAGCGGGAGCTCTCTGCACTGGGTACGCCCTCTGTAAACAGTTCTATCACGTAAGTTTTCTTTTCTATGTTACTGCCCATATCTTTTTATGTCTTACTAACCTTTACCTTTGGTTCTCCAGCTTGGCAGTTATTTTTGGTGCTGGACTTGTAACTAGTTTATCTCCTTGTACACTCAGTGTTCTACCATTAACTCTAGGATATATAGGTAAGTATATTGCTTTATTTGAGATGATTGTTGGAATGGCCAGAATTGATCATCATTGATTACTCTGATCCAGTGCTTTCTTCATAAACATCTAGGTGCATTTGGCTCAGGGAAAGGCCGATCAGAGGTAATTTAAGATGAGTGGACAAATTTTATTTCTTTATGCCATGGAAAAACTAGAATATATTGCTATTTATCTGTTAGAATATGTATTATTACAAAGTTATCTCACTGAAGGACTTACTTGGCTAATTAAGGCTATTAATAATGTTGAAAACTTGATAGTTCTAGCTGGGGGCTTCCCTTGATACATGCATTGACTTGGCTTTTCTATCTATTAGGTTGTTGGGAATTCAATTGCATTTTCACTAGGACTAGCAACAACCTTAGCTATTCTTGGTGTTGCTGCTTCTTTTGCTGGAAAGGCTTATGGTCAGGTAGGACAAGGGCTCCCAGTGGCTGCTTCTGGTTTGGCCATCATCATGGGATTGAACCTTCTGGAGGTAAAACACATGAAACGAAAATTACATATATAGACTGGAGCATGCCAAACAGAATTTCCTCCTACCTTATTTCCTTAAGTTACGAGCTGATTTAATCCCTGTATTTCTTGGTTTCTCATTATAAATACTCCTGTAGAAATACAAACCAATTTTTGTGATAGTTCGTTCTTATGAAAATCGTATTCCTGCTTGCTCCTGTAAAAGTACATGTAACTGCATTATCAAATGTTCTGCCCTAAGCTGTTTATTTTCTGTCCTTAACAGGTACTTGAATTGCAACTTCCCTCATTTTTCAGCGATTTTGACCCTCGAGCTGCTGCAGCTAACCTCCCTTCAGGTGATACCTCCTCACATCATTTTTATTTTCCTTATTAAAATACTAATCTCTATATCACTATGTTTCTCTTTGTTCATGAATATTTTTTTAACTTATGTTGCATTATTGCCAGGTGTACAAGCATACCTTGCTGGTCTTACATTTGCATTGGCAGCATCACCTTGCAGCACACCTGTTCTTGCTACCCTTCTGGGATATGTTGCCACTTCAAGAGTATGATAATTACCTCAGTAGTCAATAGTTTATTACAATTGTTTAAAATCCAACACATTAAGAACATTTTATTAGAGTTTTATCATGAGCTTTAGATTAATCAGGAATTAATAATTATATTCTATCCTGCAGTACTTTATTTTAGATGACATGCTCTCTTAGCTTATGTTTTTTTTCCAAGATGATTACGAAGTCCTGTCACCACAACTTCAAGCTTCTTGTTTCAGGACCCAATTATTGGAGGAAGCTTATTGTTGACATACACAACGGGCTATGTTGCGCCTCTTCTTATTGCAGCTTCTTTTGCTGGAGCATTGCAGGTAAGAATGTTGACTTTTATTTAATTAATTAATTTATTTTCTTGAGAACTTCATGGTGGGTGTTCAAACCGAGTCGAAATTTATTAAACAATATTGGAATTTTGAATTGCTCAAAAAAGAATATAGTAATAGCACAAGATCAATTGATCAAAATAGTTTATTGTACTTTTGTGCCAGTAATCATTAAGTTTGTCTTCTGTAGAGTTTGTTGTCATTCAGAAGATATTCCGCATGGATAAACCCAATCAGGTATCTACTTGTTCTTGAAATCTGACTGTTTTTCTGCAAATTGACTGGTTAGATCTTGTTCCAGTTATCCTTTTGCATTTTGTTCTTACAGTCAAGATTTTAAAATTGAAGACATATGTCAAACTTTCATTTAACTTTCTGATTATACACCCCCATGAACATGAACATCAAATTGTTTAGCTTAGAAAGATTTGTAGCTCTTGGACTTTAGGTACATATATTGGCTGCCAAAAGAAAAAAAATACATCAAATGGCATAGATGTTACTATGTAGTTTTTTTTTTATACAACATATGTCAATGTCTTTCCAAACTACTGAACTCGACTGTTTGTCAAAAATATGTTGTCTGAAGTTGGGATCATTATCAAATATCAAATGGTCCTTAAAATATTATATTTCCTTCTATAGAGATGTGTCTGGATCTAACATAGTAACATTTTCCTGCCAGTGGCGCATTTCTACTTGGTGGAGGTGTTTATACCCTACTGGACAGGGTGTTTCCAGCAACATCAATGGCAATGTAGACCATTTTTGGACAAGAATTGCTAGGCACCAGTCTGTTTGGCGTGCGATAAAATTCGGATGTGAAGTAGTGAAATGATGCTAACAAAGTATAGTCGGTTCTCTCCGTGTTGTATAGGCATGCAGAGCATCTTGGGACAAGCAAAACATCTTGACCTCACTGTATGGGTCTCGATAATTGGGGCCTGGAGGTCTATCCCACTAAAATGTATTTCTGGATAGATTGCAAGAGTATGGAATACATGTAAATACCAGAATGGGAAAATATGGCTATGCGAGCAGTCATTGGGATTTTAACTTATGATTCCAACAACCACACAACCTGTGCTATGCTCTCTGTTCAGTCTTCAGGAAGTTTTCTGTAGGGTATAATAGTACCTAATTAGTTTTGTTAGCTAAACAATTTCACATGATAGGGTAATCAAATAAATGGTTTTAGGACAGCAAAAGGAGTAGAGGTTTTACAGAATCACTTTGATGGGTGTCCACTGTCAACCCAGCTGTCAACTTGGTGCCTATTGTCATCTTTTGTGCACAAACATTCCCGAAGCAAAACAGTGCAGGTGAGCATACAAACCATGGGAGTCTTGAACCTGCTGTTTGCTGTCGCATTCATTTTTTTTTCTTGACAACTTTTGCCAATTGTAAATTCCTCCAATATGCAAGATGAAGAACGAAAATTCCTCTGTTAACTCTTCAGTTTTTCCTGTCTTATGCAAAATGCACCACTCACCTCTTCTATAAACCAGACACTTGGCTGCGTGTTTCCTCAAGAATCGGTAAAGCAAAATCAGTTGCTGCATAGCCGACCGATCTGCAAAAATTCACTCTGACGTGCTTAGATGCAACGCAACGCAGATGCCATCTCACATCACTCTATGTAACTGCGTAATTCTGAGGAGTACAGTTGAGCTTCAAATGAGCTGTATACATAAAAATCATATTAATAGTGTGAGATTCAGTTTGTGTTTGTCTACTTTTCTTGTTAATTAGATCCCGTGACATTCAGTTTTATAACAATGTGAAGCTTCCTACGAGGAAATGATCTCGTAGCTAAATAATGTTATAACTAGATATCAATTACTCCCAAGTGACACTTAATGTTGTCTTAAGTCAACCATCTTAAAACCTTGGATGTGTATTACCTTTTAAGCGTGCAATCTGAATATATATTTAAAATGTTACAAGTTTATCACCTGTGGTGCACAAAATTGTTCTATGGACCTGTATTCCTTTTCCTTATAACCATCATCGTTCATGTACAAACCCTTTCAAAAGTAAAATAGTCCAACCGATACAAAACATCACGCTCAATCTGGGGACTGGGGACTTCAACACGCTGATGGCTGTCGCATTCAACTTCTCTCGGACGGAAAATTACTCCCAAGATTTAGTTGCCTTTGTCAAGCACCCAAGAATTTAAGTAAGTCAATCTTCTCACACATAAATTCCTAGGCCGACTTCCTTTGGATCAGTTTCTACCATCCAGGAAGGCCTGTCAATTGAAGTGGATGAGCATGTTTAGCTGAAACATAACATGAATTGGGACAACATATAATGTGTTTTAGGTTGGGGAAAGAGAAATCACTTGTTCATCACGAAGTTACTTGTCCCTTGAGATGCACGCTCAAGAAGCAGCTTCCTTGCTTCTATCGGTATTCCCTCTGGCTGCATTATAACAAATTGAGGTAGTTTAGTTTGGGAAATGAAGTCTTATGTTTAACTTTTTTTTTTTCATTTGTTTATTCTAAGGAAGGATTACTCACCTCTTCTGGAAACCAAACTCCTGGTTGTGTGTTGCCCTCAAGAACTGCTAAAGCAAATGCAGCTGTCGCAAAGCCCACCGATCTGTCAATTTTGATCTAGAATATGCTTAGATGCAGTCCAAGAGTATTTCTAGTAATTCTGGTCACCCAGTAAGAAAACTTAAGAGCACACCAGAAGTTCTCAAATGAACCATATGGTAACTACTTCGCCAATTTTCACTCTGAATTCCTGGGCAATATAGTGATGTCTGGCTAGAAACTTAAATCTAACAATACATTATAATTTATAATGGAATGCAAAGAAAAGAAAAAACTGAAGCAGTAGATATGCTCCCAGTTTTATAGAAACAGATCGTTTTCATAAGAAAATTTTGTAAAGGAAAGGAAACAATCAATATAGAATATGTTGTGGTTTGGAAAGTTAATGTAGAGCTTCATATTTTTAAATAATCAGAGAGTTAAAAAGTTAAGAATTGGAAATATTAAACATCAGTTAGATATTGCTCGAGGATGTTTCAATTTTCTTATGCTCCGTACTTACACAGATAGCTTTTTATGAGTAAATAATCCAATAGTATTCGCCATTTGAACAGTCCAAGTCTACCTACAGAAACGAAAACATTTTGATTAGGCAATGGCCATTTGTAGTCCAGCATTACTCTTGACACAGGTAAAGAACTTACTCTCATAGAGACACGCTCTCCCTGCGATACCATCAACGGCTCGAACCAAAGGATCAACAGACTGAACCAACTTCTGAACCTTATTTCTATCCCTCAAGAACTCCTGAAGAGGACCAAGATTCAGGTCAGATTAATGCGAACTGAAAACTGAATACTATCATGTATTCATGTATATGTTCTGGATTCCAGCCCACAGCAAACCATTTGGTTTAATTGTAATACAGGAACTACCGATTAAATGCTATAATTGCAGAATGAAAATTGGCAATGCCTGTTTGCAACTATAAATTTAATCACTACAGTATTAATAATAGCAACTATAACTAAGCGGGCTGAAATGAAATAACTTTGTATAAGCATAAACCGAGGAAAATACATACAACAGGTAAAAAGTTTATAAAGCCTGCATTCCCCAATTCCAGAAGAAAGGAGCAGTACCAAATCGAGCACTAACAGTTGGCACACCTAATATCTTAAAAGCACTCTTCACTTCAGGCAAATTCCTGGAGTAGGTAACACAATGTGAAATTTATTAGCTTCCTTTTTGGCTATATTATATTTCAGTTTTGTAACTTTGTCAATTATAAGATATGGAAAGGTAAACATTGGCCCAAGTACTTACAATAAGTAGACATTTTTCTTTCTGACCCCCTTTCCGAAATCAATGTTCAGAGCTCCACTATAGGGCTTCAATTTGATTTCTTCTCCTGAATTAGTAATAAAAATAAGAATGACGTATAATTTTCCCTTACAGTGAGGAACTCCATAGGTGCAATAGCACTAGTGCATAAGCTGGAAGTACCCTTGTTATATGCAATTACATCCTCCCCAAGAAGCAGAAAACTTGTTGCCAATATTGTTGGACCAGCACCACCAGTACCTGCAGTATAGTAGAAGAATCTAAAAGAGGGGTTTAGCAACATATGGAATATGTATGGATGTTCAAAAACGTTAATTACTAGCTTCATAGATCAAGTAAACATCGATGAAACAGTTTGACGCGACAGCTATTATGCAGGTGCTTTTAAGCTAACAGGAACTCTCTCAGCCTAGCTAGGAGAGAAAACACATCATGGGGAATAGCAATTTAACTACTACATGCCAACAGAAAACCAAATAGAGCCCTTACTGTACACTGAATGAAAATTTTGGCATTTCCTGTTCTAGACAACAAAGAACTCTAACCTTAGTCTTTCAGGTTCGCCATTTTCACTTCTGGCAGCATGCACAAGCTCAGCAGCCATCACTGTCACCAGAGAAGAATACAATACACCAATAAGCACTCAAAGATCAAGATATTCATCTCTTCTAGATAGCCCCTTCTATCATACTTAACTAAAACACCACCATCTATGCAGACCAAATGTTGTGGTTCAGTCTGATTTGCATCAGATTCTGTCCAGGAAAATAAGGCCTGTGCAATTAAGTTCCTTCTACAGTTTGACAAGGATAGAGCTATTTAAAGTTAAGGCAATTAAACGATACTCCAATCCTCTGTGCATAAATGTGAGCCTTTTTGAAAATGTGTAGTCAAATGTTCTTAACTTGACCACTAATATGAGCAAATGTATTTTGCTCGACAGAGTGAAAGTCGTACTAATATGGTGGGCATAAAAAACACTTTCTTAATATTATTCCTGTAGATTTTACTAACAGAATGTGATAGAAACAGCAGTACACGATGTTTCTTCGAGACTCTGCTATGTCATTGTTATGCACTTAAGTACAGCCGTTGTATTTCATTTGTCAATAGATGTTCTTTTTTTGTAGATTATATTTCTTTTATGTGTTTTAGCTTTGGTCATACTATACATGTGGACAACATAGAGAAGTACAAGGTGGCAAAGAAGACTGCAAAGCGAGCTGTAAGTGTGGCAAAGGGTAGAGCGTACGAGGATCTTTACCAACATTTGAGTACGAAGGAAGGAGAGAAGGACATTTATAGGATGGCTAGGGTTCGTGAGAGAAAGATACGGGACTTCAACCAAGTTAAGTGCATTAAGGATGAAAGGGAGCATCTCTTGGTGAAGAAGGATGAGATCCGACATCGATGGCAAGAGTATTTTGACAAATTGTTCAATGGTGAGAATATGGACACAACCTTTCAATTAGATGGCTCTTTTGATGACACCAATAAGCGCTTTGTGCGGAGAATCCAAGAATCTGAGGTCAGAGAGGCGTTGAAAAGGATAAAAGGAGGTAAGGCGATGGGACTGGATGGTATCCCAATCGAAGTGTGGAGATGCCTCGGGGACATAGCTATAGTATGGCTAACCAAGCTGTTCAACCATATTTTTCGATCGAACAAGATGCTTGATGAGTGGAGTAGAAGTATATTGGTTCCGATCTACAAGAATAAAGGGGATATTCAAAGTTGTACTAATTACCGGGGAATTAAGTTGATGAGCCATACTGTAAAGCTATGGGAGAGAGTTATCGAGCATCGTTTGAGAACAATAACACGGGTCTCTATGAACCAATTTGGTTTCATGCCCGGAAGGTCAACCATGGAAGCCATTTTCTTAATAAGACAAGTTATGGAGCGGTATAGGGAGAAGAAGAAGGACCTACACATGGGTTTTATTGACTTAGAGAAGGTTTATGATAAAATACCAAGGAATGTTATGTGGTGGGCTTTGGACAAACATAAAGTCCCAACGAAGTACGTCGGGCTCATTAAGGACATGTACAACAATGTTGTGACTAGAGTTCGAACAAGTGATGGAGACACGGATGACTTCCCGATTAGGATAGGACTACATCAAGGGTCAGCTTTGAGCCCTTATTTGTTTGCTTTAGTGATGGATGAGGTCACAGGGGACATACAAGGGGACATCCCTTGGTGTATGTTTTTCGCGGACGATGTAGTGCTAGTTGATGAAAGCCGGACAGGAGTGAATCAGAAACTGGAGTTATGGCGGGAGACTTTGGAGTCCAAAGGTTTTAGACTCAGTAGAACTAAAACTGAGTATATGAGATGTGACTTTGGCACTACTACTCGAGAGTAGAAAGATGTTAGTTTGGAAGGTCAAGTAGTGCCTAGGAAGGATACCTTTCGATATTTAGGATCAATGCTACAGAAGGACGGGGATATTGATGAAGATGTTAGCCATAGAATCAAAGCAGGGTGGATGAAGTTGCGGCAAACGTCTGGTGTCCTATGTGACAAAAGGGTACCACAGAAGCTAAAAGGCAAGTTTTATAGGACGGTGATTAGACCTGCTATGTTGTATGGTGCAGAATGTTGGCCTACGAAAAGACGACATGTTCAACAGCTAAGTGTCGCGGAAATGCGTATGTTGCGTTGGATTTGCGGTCATACAAGAAAGGATCGAGTTCGGAACGATGATATACGTGATAGATTAGGGGTAGCGCCAATTGAAGAAAAGCTTGTCCAACACCGGTTGATATGGTTTGGACATGTGCAACGGAGACCTCCAGAGGCACCGGTGCGTAGTGGAATCCTAAGCCAGGATAGTAACGTGAAGAGAGGCAGAGGAAGACCAAAGTTGACTTGGGTAGAGGCAATAAAAGGAGACTTGAAAGGATGGAATATACCCAAAGACTTAGCCTTAGATAGGAGTGCTTGAAAGATAGCTATTCACGTGCCTGAACCTTGATTGCTTTTGATGGGTTTTAACTCTAGCCTACCCCAACTTGTTTGGGACTTAAAGGCTTTGTTGTTGTTGTTGTTGTATACATGACATCGATGTATTTGGTGATCACACAAAATTTTTCCTCGTTTCAACTCTTGATGCTAGCATACCATCGCATCTTGTGCATCCATTTGAAAACTTTTGTGGAGTATCATATGATTTATCAAGATTATTGTGTGAGAAAAGATGTGGTTGTAGAATTCATCAAAAGAACAAGAAAACTCAAGGAAAATTGAGTTCTAAAGTCTAACAGAAAGAAGATACACTAATTACCATTGCTAACTCCCGGATATATGCCAGCAGTAGTAATAGCTGGAACACCAGCAGCTTTTGCTTGCTCATGGAAGCCTTTCGTTCTCCAAGAATAGTCCGTGTCATCGCAGACATCAATATATGGTGTCTGTTCAGGATGAAGTTTCAAGTGTTCCAACAGCATTTTCAGTTAAGTAGCTCGCCGCCAGAACAAGCCAAAAAAGAGCAATCGAGCCTGAACCATGGTGTGCTTCTATTCTACCTTAGTAGATATCGCTGCCTGCAGTACGGTGCACTCCTCCGCCCTCTGGAAAGGTCCAGCAGTATGGACAACCAAATCCACACCTGGCGCAAGAGAAAAATTCCAGGTAGTTATGTTAAGCTTCTCCTGAAGCAAAAGTAAACATCTGTTTTTACTGCTTAGGGGGCTCAAACATTAGGAGTTAGCTAGCAAAAGCGTTGTTTGGGCTTGGGAGCCTTTGCTACCAATGTGAATCTGTACTGTACCACCAATTAACATACTCTAGCTTGCTCTAGGCAGGATCACAGCATAATCAGCAGTATGTTTGCATTGCATTAGCATTACTGATACTGACCCTGCAGCGCTTGCTCCAACATGCCTGCGTCGCGGGTATCGACATGGACGAACTCAGACTGCCCCCCAAGCTTAGCTGCAACGGACTCGCCTTTCTCCCTGGCAAATCAAATCAAAACGGGCCGGTCAGCACCTGTAAGTGGCATCGATTCAGCCTGAACAGAAAAGCCTACTCTCTGCTGGACCTACCGGTTCCTGCCTCCGACGAGGATGCCGAGGTCGGGGCGGAGCCTGGAGAGCGCGGTGGCCGTGGATCCCCCGACGCGGCCGGTGCCGCCGAGCACGAGCACGCGGGCAGTCCTCGAGGGCTTGCTCCTCCGCTGGGCCTGGGCGGCGTCCCTGGAGCCGGAGGGTGCGGCCGCGGCGGGAGCGGGAGGCGCGCACGCTCTCACGACGATGCCCATGGCGCCCATCCCGGTACGGCCTGGTGCCGCGGTGCGCGCGAGGTGGGCAGGCTTATCGGCTATCGCCTAGCGCCTAGGCCGCGCTCTGACCGCAGAACGAGTGCCGCGCCGCCGCCTGGGAGGACGTGTCCGATGTGTGGCCGTTGGCAACCGTTGGCCGGGACGGCTGGGCGCGGCGAGCGCTATCCCCCGGAGCTGGTGGGCTGCTCGACCATCGAGCTAGTTGGGCCGTTACTCCACATGTGATGGGCCTTTAAGTTGGAGTTGGTGGTACGCACGCTCCGGAGCCCTGCCACGGTTTTGCAACGTCGCAAATGTCCCGTACGGGGGAGTCGAGGAAGATGGGCCAGTTCAAAGGCTATCCAAGCATCCTGGTGGACGTCCGGTGGCTAAGGCTATCTCAACGCCGACACCAAGTAACCAAATCGAAAACCCGGTCACGCACAGGTCACGCACAGTAAAAGAATTACGCATCCAAAACTCGCATTCTCCAACGGCCTACCCAAAAGCCCATCCCTTTCTCCCCCGCGGCGCCCTTTCACGTCCCTCTCTACCCGGCGCCGCCGATATTTTTTTTATTTTTAACACTTTTTTAAAACTATTTTCAAATCTGACACTGTTTAATTTTTTTAAAACTAACTCTTTTGGCCGCGCCTATTCGCATGGCGTGGCAAAATCACTCTGCCGCGCCATGCATGACGACGCGGCTGGGGTGACCACGTGGTAGTCAGCCGCGACATTGGCCGCTGACGTGGCAGAGCTGCCGCGCCACCCATCACGGCGCGGCAGCCCCTTGGAAGAGTAGGCTGTGTAGTGTGCAGGAAAAAGAGAAAAGCAGTAGCTGTGACGGACTGCAAGAAGAAGATAAAAGACAGAGCAAGGAAAGTGACGCATGCCTGCCAAAGAGAACAGATGGCTTATGAGAATTTGTGCTTTGGTTGTTTAGATTCTTGCTTATTTTAATCCAAGTTTTAATAGCTACAGTAGCAAGTATTGAAATTAACCCCTCCTTGATTTTCATTGACCCTCCGTCGCTGCGCATACCGGCAAACCGGCTTTTCTGCCTAGGCCTTGTACAACTTTTTTTTTTTTTGAGGAAATGCTCTGTACAAGTCACATGGCCTTTTTTTTAAATTACACCGTACAACCCGGGTTCAAGTCGGCGCATTTTTCTGTGCATCCGGGTTCGGGTGATCGTATTTTTCTGGATTTATTCTAGGATTTAACAGCGTTATGTTTTCAGTGGTAGGCGACGTCCTCGTCGACAGCGAGGCGCCAGTGGTGACTTCGTGAATCTCGAGATATGTCGGCTCAGTTCTTCGGAAGGTGCTCATAGGGATAGGGTTTGTATATGTATGTTTATAAGGGTGAGGATGCGTGCATGTTATGGACGTCTGCGTTGTACTGTGTAATTCTAAAAAAAAGATCATATGATCAGTACAGAGTGTTTCCTAAAAAAAAAAAAAACTGTACAAGGCCTAGACAGAAAAGACAGTTTGTCGGTTGCCGGTATGCGCAGCGGCGGAGGGTGAATGAAAATCAAGAAGGGGTTAATTTCAATACTGGCTACTGTAGCTATTAAAACTTCGATTAAAATAAGCAAGAATCTAAACACCCAAAGCACAAATTCTCATAAGCCATCTGTTCTCTTTGGCAGGCATGCATCACTTTCCTTGCTCTGTCTTTTCTCTTCTTCTTGCAGTCTGTCACAGCTACTGCTTTTCTTTTTTTCCTGCAGACTGCACAGCCTACTCTTTCAAGGGGCTGCCGTGTCGTGATGGGTAACGCGGCAGCCCCGCGCCCTGACGGGTGGCGCGGCAACCCTGCCACATCAGCGGCCAACGCCGTGGCTGAATACCACGGGGTCACCCTAGCCGCGCCTTTGCCGCGTCATGCCAATAGGCGCGGCCAAAAGTGTTAGTTTTGAAAAAAAAACAATATCAGATTTGGAAATAGTTAAAAAAAGTGTTAAAAATAAAAAAAAATCGCGCCACCCGTCCCTCTCTCCCCTCCCTCGTTGAGCATGGCGCTCCTCCCTCCTGGATCCGGCCGGCGGCGGCACCCCTCCCTCCCCTCCCTCCCGGATCCGACAGTCGCGGGTGAGGAGGACCCCGGATCCCCGCTCCCCGACGGCCGCTCCCTGCCTCGCCGCGGTACCCGCTGGCCGCGCCTCGAGGCGGACCTCGCCGCGTCGGCTCCTCGCCGCCCGTTCCCGTCCCTCTCTCTCTCTCTACCCCGGCGCCGCCCGTCCCTCTCTCTCCTCCCTCGTTGAGCACGGCGCCCCTCCCTCCCGGATCCAGCCGGCGGCGGCACCCCTCCCTCCCGGATCCTGCAGTCGCGAGCGAGGAGGACCCCGGATGCCAGCTCCTCGCTTCGCCGCGGTACCCGCCGGCCGCGCCTCGAGGCGGACCTCGCCGCGGCGGCTCCCCGCAGCAGTCCGCCTGGCCGCGCCCGCTCCTACGGGCCCACCACTACGACGCCAAAGATTTGCGTCGGTCTCTCTCGACGACGCAGATTTGCGTTTCGGCAAGCCTCGTATGCAAAATGGGTGAGGTGTTTGGGTTTTCTGTTGGAACGTTGTTTTTGGTAGACAAAACACTGTGAATGACCTATTTTGCGTTTGGGTCACGGTTTGCATGCTCTGTTGGAGACCGTTTAAGTGCGGCAAGCACCCTTTGCAACATTTAAACCAAAGAGGACGGTTGTCACTGGACCTTGCCTTAGAAAGAAGTCGAAAGCGGTCATATCGAATTACAAAAATTCATCTAAGAACGTTAAGATTCTGGCCGCCTTCATTCTAGGGCAAGCTTGCACATATCCCATGTATGTGCTAGGCAACTTTTTTTTACCTATATTGCAAAACAATTTAGTATTGTTTCACTATATGATATCTCACTTTAATTTTGGAAATCAAATATTTACCATCCACATTTACCATCTTTTTTATACTTTGTTCATGCAACTATGCAAGTCAGAGAGAAAAATCGTGTTTTGTGAATAGTTATGGTGTCAAAAGGACTTTATGTGGATTGAAGTAATCTATTATTTCTCATTTCTCACCTTTTTTTTTGGTTGGTCTATAGAATGGAATAAACTTATCCGTCACCATGTCATTTCTTACAAGCTGATAATAAGTACAAATATGAGGAATGAAGTCATCCTATCAAATTTGAATGGCATGGACCTACATATGTACCACCTCATCTAAAATAAAATGATTCCTTAAACTAAACACCTCAAAAGTGTCTTGTCCCATGCTACTATGATAGAAAAGGACATTAGTGTCTGTTCAAGCTGGATTTTAGCAATGGAAAAAAAACAAGTATCTCTAAATTTACATTTATGACATGGACAACATTAGTAACATATTATTCTGTATCTCTTATATACAGTTATTATATTGCTATTGCTTTCGTGCGGCTTAGTTATCGTGACCAAATAAAGGTAGTCAACCCCAAAAATTGGTGTATTTTCTGATTTTGATCTCCATTACTTAGGTACTTATTAACCTAAGTAGTAGCCACCTTAGTTTATTGTGATGTGGTCGTCAAATTGGCAAAATCAAAATAGGGTCTATTAATTTAGGGGCTATTTGGATTAGTCTCTAGGGCAGGCAACTCAGACCAAGGAAGCACATCTTGCCTTAGACGTCCAAGATCCCAAGATCCAACGCCTGGAAGTGCTACCTGTATCAGGCACCACTGTCCAACTCTGAACCGAACATACTTTTAATGGCTAAGATCTATGTGATCATGTAAAAACAAATTAACAGGAGTAATAAGATGCCCTCGCTAGTGCACGTACGGTACGAGAGCAGCTCGTCCGTTCAGGATGGTGGCATCGGTGCCATTTGTGTGTGCGTCCCGTCTAGGACGAACACCAACATGGTGGCCTATTCAAATATAACTTTTTTCCCTCAAGATTACATGCTCTCATGATGTGGACGAATCATGATCTGTGCATAATTGAGCTCTTATTGCGCACAGATCACGATACACATCTAATGGTCCACATCACGAGGGCATGTACTCTTGAGAGCAAATTTACTTTCTCGACCTATGTGATAAGGTACCAATATGAATCGGCAAGGGGATGGCCCGATCTTCACGATAGTAGGTCTAAAACAAAGGATAACTTGCTGTAGAAACAACGGGTAACTAGCTTTATACCTGACAAAGATTGGATGCGACCAAGCGATGGGGAGAGAGACACTGAAACCTTGAGTACTTCAACTCGATCTCCGAACGATCGCAGAACCACAAACCGAGACTAATCCATACAATACGACGCAACCTAACTGAAAACCGTAGAGCACGAAGTAGGGGACCTCGGAGAGATTTCTCATAAGCCCAAGAAGAACTCGCAAGAACAAAGGTGAGTATGACACTCAGCGCAGCTCGACTGCAATACCATATCAGGTTCTCAAATGATCAAAAGTTATTTTCTCGTAGCATACAGGTGATATTTATACTAGGAATAAGTCTCTTAGATAGCTATGAACTGAAAGGGCCATGTTGGGAGGTGGAAGGCCAACTGGTTGAAGCATTCATGAGGTGGTCTTCAATTCCCGCGCGTCTTTTGGACTTCTGCGCAGCCTTCAGTAAATTGGTCATTACTCTCTGCTCAGGAATCCAAATGAGTAGCCGGTTGTTGGGTTGGAAACTAGACTTGACGAGGTTTCCAACCATGTATATTATGACCTATGTCTTTTCCTGAGATGGTACAGTTTTGCACAGGAAGTTGAGGCTTCTACAGTGTTGTTAACACAAAAATGTGGCGATGTGATTAACACACGGCAAGTCGGATGATCTAAGTGGAAAGAGCTGAGACCAGAGATGTGATTGGCTTCAACACAGAACCAGTCGATTCTAAAAACCCAACGACGTGCCAGTCAATTTGACCTGCAATTGACAAGAAGAGAAAATCTTATCAGTAATTTAAGGTAGAACATGTCGGTGTTGCACCAGACAGTTCCAAATGTACGGCTAGATAGCCGATTCAATAAGGCT